CCCCAAAACCCCAAAACCCCAAAACCCCAAAAATCTGAAAAGCATCTTTTTTATCGAATTCTTTTTTAAAATCAAATATAATTTATTTTAATTGAAATGAGCTAGGTTCTTGATACCATTGATTCTAAGTTACAACCTTTGAAGGGCCATCCATTATATCAAGTGGAGAATCAAAGAATTCAGCAGGCAACTAGATCATCAATAAATTCTCCACTAAGGTCGAGGGCGCAAGGTAGAACTCTGTCAAATTCAGGCAAGGAATTCGCTCTAATGGGAGGAGCTCTTGGAAATTATTTATCATCTAGACAATCAGGCCCAGCATTTGTAGTAAAATAAAGCCTTCAAAAGCCATAATAAGGTAAATGGACTAGAGATGGTTTGGATAGACTGACCTAAAGACCTTCTCACAAAGGGATAAGGGATAAAACTTAAGTGTTGCTCCCTCATGAAAGAAACAACTCACCAATGACTATGGAAGATCGAACTATGTTATTGACAGACATAGATTTAGTAAATAGTTTAAGAGCCCCGATTGAAGCATACTAAGCTTCATTTAATTAGACTCATACCTCAATGAAATCGAAAATCTCTGCTAAAACAGGATAAACAGGGATATCAACTACAATCCCTTACCCACCATCTTTCTATGAAGATGATTAGTAGAAGTGGAGAGATAAATTTTCCAAATATATTTAAGAACGGCAAGCACTAAAAAAGATTATATATAAAAATAATGAGTTAACACCATTTACAAAGAACACGAATCTAAAAGATTAAACCTAATTATATACAGTTAGAAATGAAACCTAACCAGACTCTATCAACCCTGACTAGATGAATTCTCCTTATAAAAGGGTCATGCAAAGAAGAAGATCAAGACAGCAAACATATGCACCAATTGCAGTCGATTTTGATTATGCAGGAGATAGCGGTTAATTTGATCATATTTTCAAAGCACGAAATTCTTAAACAGGTTCCCCTAACATTTCCATCTTGAACTTTGAAATGAAACTTAGAGGGTACAAAAATGAGACTGAGTTCCTGGCTCAAGCTCCCTGGATGTATCCTGCAAGAAAAAGCTTCAATTCTAAGGAGCAATTTAAAAACTAGAAATCTCAACTGAATTAGACAATAGGGGAATTCAAAATGAAGTTTAATGATCAGCTCCTTGAGAAAAACAGTAATATGCTAAGAGATATCTTCAACAAGGGGCTCAAGTAAAATTATAATTGGGAGTGCAGTTTGAGAGGCGATAGAGCTAAAAATAGATAGAAGCAGGTCTCTCAACAAGCACCTAGGGTTAAGAATAGTGAATAATGATGATAAATCCTTTGAATAATTTATAAGAGTTATAGTGATGACATTTGATTAGTTTAATTAGGAATCTCCTAAATTTACTGTTAATTTCAATATGTAGATCTAAGGCGTCCCTTATCACCACTCTTCTTAATAAATTCTTATAAATGCTTATACGCCTCTAAACTATCTGGCGTTATTAAAGCCTATGCTTTGATCTTATCCTAAATTTTTTCCTCATCCCAAAAGAATATTGCATCTATTTCACTGCCTTGTGGTTTAACTGCTCCTGAATAAAATTGAAGATAACTATAACACCATGCTTTCGAGAATTCACTTTCAAATCTGAACTTAAACATAAACTTTGGATCAGGAGTGATAATACTAAGTTCCTCTTAAAGTTCCCTCGCAGCACTGACATCCTCCGTCTCACTCATTCCTACTACTCCTCCAAATACTAAGTCAATATAGCCAGGACAGTAGAATTTATTAGTAGATCTTTTCTAGACAATGAATTCTCTCTGATTGTTTATCACAAAAATCTGAGTGCTTCTATGCCACAAATTTTAAGTTTACTAAGGATAAATGGTTAAGAATTGAAGAATTAAAAATTCATACCATTTCAGACCTAGTGGCTTCTCTTACAGGATGATCATTTTCATCTACTATTAATATTATTTCGTCCTATGAAAGTTTAGATTGCTTATTGACAGCCCCTGTACTAAATTATCTGAAAAATGAGTAGGGCTTTAAAGGGCCTAATCGCTGAAAATATTTTAGCTATTTTATCATTTGTTATTATCAATAATTTCCTTAATTTACTTTCTATTACTATGATGGGGTTTTGGGGTTTTGGGGTTTTGGGG